TTTATCCCGGTGTCCAGAAGCTTTGAGGAGAAACTGTTCAGTTGAATTCCCTTATGTAGCCCTCTAGCAGCAAGAAAAGAACTTATGGTAAAGCAAAACTGACAGAGGATTCACTTCTGCAGGTTTATCTGACACAAAACAGAATCCCACTTGATTCCTTTCAGTGTATTGCTGTGTGAAACTTGCTGAGATCTACAGGTCATTCTCAACAGACAGGAGACGAAAGGGAAAGTTCAAATGGAAAGGGCAGCTTTACGGCCGCAGCAGCGGATTCATCACCCCTTCCAAAACCCTGATAGGATGAATCACCCTTAGATCTGTAAAATGGGGATAAGGATTCAACACAGATGTTGTTGTGAGACCTCAAAACATTTCTGACCCTCAGTTGGCAGGCGCCTAAGCGCTAAGTATCGTCATTATTCTCTCCATATCTGAGTCCTCCCGTCATCAAGAGCCTCTCTCCAGGGCTGGAACTACTGTCTGCCCAGACGGAATCCAGAAAAAGCAGACAGGACCCCATTATAAGGAAACATGCAGCTGTGCTCATCTCAGCATAAAGGCATCGATTTTATTCGGCACCGTCAAATGGAGAGTAATTATATGGGGCAGGACAGAGGGACCCCGAAGCAAGCGTCCTGAAAGAGACCCCTCTCATTCAGCTGAATAAGATGCCTTCAGCCATTTGCACTGATAAACCATTATCAACCCCTCCCCATTCACAGGCCCTCTCTGCCGTCCCATAGACCCTCCTCTATTGCAAGCAAAGGGAAGTGTTGGACAGGCTGAGCTGTTACCATAGCAGCCGCCCCTCTCCCTCTCCGCACTCCCACCATTATGGAATTATCCCATTCTGAAACGTCCTGTTGTGCCTATTAATACCAGACTTCCCCCAGACAATGCTACACTCCACCCTCCTAAAATAATCAGGGGACTCCAAGAGGGCTGTGTGAAAGGCTGGGAGTTCAGCAGCGGCCTTCAGCGAGCACCACGAACACTGGAATATTCATACAGCACATTCATATCTGCAACAGCAGCAGCAAGCCCCATGCCAAGGGCTCAGCTGGGATGAAGAATGCTCTTCAGTGCAGGAGCGTCCTGCTCTGTTGTGTGCCTGAGCTGATAAGGCACTATCAGAGCCAGAGGACGCTATATAGAGGGGCACCCTTCTCCACCTTCAGCAGCCCTGCAAATGTGTTCTCGTTTTGGATCAGCTCCTTGGTTTCGCCGTAGCTGCTTCGTTTTGGTTTGCTGCCATCAGTAGAAGAAGATCTTCCCTGAGATCTTCCCTAAAAGGAACCAACTCTCCACCCATAGGACTGCACTGTGAAGAGGTAAGAGACAAATTTCTGTAGCAGGGTAGCAAAGGAACTCTCCTAGCGCTGTGAGTTTTAGCTGTTGTCAGCAAGGTGGAAAAATGCACAAACTGGGATCATGAGCATAATAGAAATGTCTGAAACTAAGAAAAAGCAGCACATTTTGAAGATGAAAACACCAAACTTTTCACACTTAAGTCCTTAACATCCATCCTTTTGGCAGGAAAGCTGACTGCTGCATGCCCATCGCTCTGACACCACTCTGGTGCTTATAGGAAACCAGTGCTTGAGCTGAGGGGTGGGAGGCTCAGCAGGAGTGATCGTCAGGAGAACAGCATCAGTTAGAAGTGGGCTACTTCTAAGGAAAAACACTTGCAGAGAAAGACTGGAGACAAGACACTAAACCAGAAATACAACCCCCAGACTAGCATATTCCCAAACCAAAATTCTTCCAGCTGAGCAAGAAGTCATTTCCTGAAATCCATCACAAATTTCAACATACACCTTGAATTTATCTGCAGTGAGCATCGTAACAAAGCCTTCAAATTAGCCAGGTAACGAATTTACATTGAGTTATTTTTTCTATTGATTAATTTTTGCATTATTAATAAGGATAACTGATAGCGTAACCCTGCACCGACAGCCCCAGGGAGTGTTATCTGTTTGTTTCTGAGCAGAACAGAAACAGGGACATAAAACATGGGCAGTGTGCATGCATTTCTAATGAGTGCTGGCATCCCCCTTCCAGCTCAGCCCCGGGGGGTGGGATAATGGCTCCCTCCACACCAGCACTCTGCTCAGCAATACGCACATCGAGAAATATTCATACAGCACCAGGAGTGCAATCCAAGAGGAAATTATTGGGCGGTGAGACAGACTGCCAAATAAGTTTTCTGTTTGTGGAGTGAAAGCCTCTTGTGCTACACTATATACATTAGCTCGAACTACACATTCTGGGTCATCTGGGGAAGTTTCAAGTTTGCTCTCAGCATAAATACAGATGAGTACAAAAGTTTCGTAGGATTTACGAGTGTCCTTTTTTGCAAGCTAACAAACCAGAAAGTAAGAAAAAGCCTAAAAAGTGAATCAGTTACTTATATTGATAGACACGCAAAATAAAATGCAGGAAAGGGATTTCCATAATCTACAGCTACAAAAGCTGTTATTTTTGTAAGGTTGAAGCTTTCTGTCAACAACATCTCTGCTCCAGACATAACCTCAACACGTAAACCTAGCAAAACAGCAGCTTTTCCTCTGACCTAGTTTAGTGCTGCACGCTGTCAACAAACAGAACTGTAAAGAAATACAAAAATTGATCAAAGTTCCCTTCTAACATAAAATCTAAGCAAAATTAGAAAGAGACTCAGTTCCCCATGGGGAACAGCTCTCCTACAGGACAGGCTGAGAGAGCTGGGGCTGAGCAGATGGAGAAGAGAAGGCAGGGGGAGAGCTGAGGGCAGCCTGTCAGTGTCTAAAGGGGAGCGACAGGAAAGAAGGGGACAGACTCTTTAGCAGGGTCTGTGGTGACAGGACAAGGGGAAATGGCCTCAAGCTCAACAATGGCAGATTTAGGTTGAGTATAAGGAAAAAGTCTTTCACAGCGAGGGTGGTGAGGCACCGGCACAGGCTGCCCAGAGATGTGGTGGGTGCCCCATCCATGGAGACTTTCAAGGCCAGGCTGATCAGGCCCTGGGCGACCTGATCCAGCTGTGGTGTCCCTGTGCACTGCGGGCAGTTGGACTGCGAGGCCTTCAAAGGTCCCTTCCAGCTCTGAGGGGTCTATGATTCTCTATTCATTTGGTTTCTGACCAGGCAATGAATGATGCCTTCCTTCCCCTTCCTCCAACAAGTGAATAAGGTAAGAGCAGATCTCACATGAAGGCAATCACTTGAACAAGACACAACTGATTGATTTTATCATCTGCTCTAAGGATCCCCTTCTTGTCACTGACATTTTGAGCTTACAGACAGACCCACGTTCTCCCTTTTCCTCCACCCCTCAGCACCTTGCAGTGAAAATATGTCCAGACAGAAATCAATGGCAGAGTCAGTGCTGACATCACTGAGGACAAAACTGCTGACTGAAATGCCTTGACTTAGTCCACTTCTAGCATGGGCAGACAGCTGGGTCTGAATTCCAAAGATCCTCCATAGGAAATCAGCTCAGTGTATCAGCTGCTAACTCTCAAGCATCTGGTTTGTAAGCAGGGCTCACTGCTTTGCTTCCTGAAGTTAAATCACTGTCATCAAGGGAAGAGACATCCCTGTCTGCCACCCTCCCTTTAGCCTTTTCAGCTGGTCCAGTCCTGTACCAACTGCTTTTTCAGTGGTGTAACCACATAAAGAGGAGCACTTACCATCAGACAATAACTCATCACTGACAGGAGTGTGAGCATATAAAGATCACTACATTTTTGCAGATAAAATAAAAATTAAACAAAGATGATAGGCACCAACTGTAAATTAACAGCCCATGAAAAGGCATGGTCTCAGCATATTTCTTCACTGCTGTGCAACAGAAAAATACGTATTTAAACTAATTCCATCCAGGGAAGACAAGTATTTGAGCATTCATCACATGGAAACTCCAAACTCTTGGGTTCAAAAAGATTTGTAGGCTTTATTTTATATGGGACTAATAAAGACTAAAACCCAAACTTGCGTGCTCTCCAGCAACCCCAGGAAATTCACACAGAAAACCCGACAGTGAGTTTTCTTTTTGTTCATGAAAGCAACAGGAACTACAAAACACAAAAGTAAAAGATAACACGTGTATTTATAGAGAATGAAATACCCCTCAGAAAAAAGGACATTCTAGATGCACTTCTGGCAATGCCATCTTCTGAAGTGCTGTTCTCTCTAGCTGGCAGCAGACAGTGATTACCCACACACTCAAACTTAGTCTTTCTTGTGCCATAGACACACATTGTATTCAGGGAGTGCATAGAGTGAGAAGGCCCCTCTGTGGCCACACAAAGAAATTCCTGTTTCCAAATGTAATTTGTTCTCCTTTCTGCTGACTCTAGTCTCTCCAGCCATGCAGTAAGCAGAAGTGGCCCAGCATGTTCATTCCTCACCTACCGCAGTTTCCTGTCCACCTGAAAGTGACAACAGCTAACAAAAGACGGGAATTACCTTGGTGTTTCATTTACAAATTTCCTATATATTGGTCTGTAATTAATCAGCCATTTCAATGAATATACTCAAATTTTAAGTTCTATTGGAAGCTGGATGCCTTGCTTCATGCCTTGGACCATCTGCCTACTGATGTAAGATCTCAGCACGCAGTGTAACTTCTGCCCGAGACTCACAAAGTTGTGTAACAGTGTCAGCCCCTACCTTAAAATTTCAATCTCAGTAGAGGAAAATGGAGCAGATTGATCTTAAAACATTCTAACGGGTGAAGAATGTGTCAGAGAAACAAGAGATGCCTCCTTGTTTCTCTAGGCAAAGCAAACAGGCACTCAAGCCAAACGGAAATTCTTCTTGTCTTTTGCTATCATTATTTCACTGTTTTTTTCCAAATGCTTTTCAAACACAGTTGTATTTGATGGTGCCTCACTGACCTGAGGATACTGAGACAGGAACACAGGATACACAGAAACAGGAAGCTACAGTTTTCAGCTTCCTTAGCTGCTTATTCTTTAAATATGTATTGAATGTTGTGCTGTAATCATCAATTAGTACAACTAATAGAGGTACTGCTGTGGATACTGCAACACCTCTGAGGAATTCAAGAAACAGAGACAGCACTGGAAGCTCAGACTGTCTGCATTTCCCTACCACTGACCCTGACAGATGAGGAGTGCATACAAAGGCAGGGTAAGCACCCACAAAATGTAGTCACTTTTGGTTGATGCTATTCAGGACCCTGCAGAGGCTGCCAAAGCTAAGCACAGTATTATATGCTGCAACTTGGAAAAGCTCCTGGATATGCTACAGGGGGAGAGTTACACTGGGAGGAGATGCAGGGAAGGATGGTGCTTTGGCAACAGAAGACAGCAAGGGTATTACTAGCAATATTTTCTGAGTCAGTGTATTACTTTTCTGCTATTCAAATGAGATGCTGCTACCCATCTGAAAGGTTTTCCCCTGTATTGGTACTGCATGTGTTTGCCATAAATGCAGGATTTCAGAGTAAAATTCTCAAAAGGCTTTCAGGAATCTTGCTTTAAAATAATTAAGTAAATAAAATAACAATACCTGACCTGCTTTCTATTGCTCCAACAAGAATGTTGTGGGCACCTTACAATAAGTGCATGTTCAGAAAAGCTCTTCAGTCCTAAACCAGCCTTTCAAATTAAACACAACAAATACCATCTAGCTAGACATACAGAACCTGCTTCCACTTTTCCATTTGCCTGATAAATGAGCATGACTATTACTCAACTAAGCCCAGCACAAACTGGAGACAAACTCATAACCAGCTGGTGTCTCTTTAATAGTGTCTCTTCAATGAGAATTAGTGGGCTGGACAGCTGAGCAGAGTTTTTACGTACATGTTTAGAGTCAGACTGACATGTCCTATTAAATATCAGTATTAGTGAGCACAAGACCTCACTGATTTCCACGTGTGTTTTCTCCAAAAATCAGGGTTGTTTGTTTTTTAAACTATAACACACTGTCTCAACTCTTTCAGGTTTTTCTTTTATACTTCAAAACTGTGGTGAGAAATGAAAGGCCCGGCAGATCCCTCAAGTCTGCTCTTCAATTGCTCAAATCAGTCAAACTTCCCTTTGGAAACTTCAGAGCAATGTGGCAAAGAGACACACCTTGAGAACGTACTTTTTGCCACCTTCTACTTCCTAGACTTCATCCTGGCTTTTATTGGCAACTCCCTGGCTCTTTGGCTCTTCATTCGGGACCAGAAGTCCAGCACACCCGCCAACATTTTCCTGATGCACCTTGCTGTGGCTGACCTCTCATTCGTGCTGGTCCTCCCCACCCGGCTGGTGTACCATTTTTCAGGTAACCACTGGCCGTTTGGCGAGATCCCATGCAGACTCACGGGTTTCCTTTTTTACCTCAACATGTACGCCAGTATTTACTTCCTCATGTGCATCAGCGTCGACCGGTTCCTGGCCATCGTGCACCCCGTGAAGTCCATCAAGCTCCGCAGGCCCCTTTATGCCCACCTGGCGTGTGCCTTCCTGTGGCTGATAGTTGGGGTTGCGATGGCACCCCTGCTGCTCAGCGTGCAGACCGTGGAAGTGAACAACACAACCATCTGCCTGCAGCTCTACAGAGAAAAGGCGTCACGTCACGCTCTTGTGTCCTTAGCGGTTGCGTTCACCTTCCCGTTTGTCACTACGGTGACTTGCTACTTACTAATCATCAGAAGCCTGAGGAGTGGGAACAGAGTAGAGAAACACCTGAAGGAAAAAGCTATCAAAATGATCATCATGGTCCTGATGATCTTCCTGGTTTGTTTTGTGCCTTATCACGTCAATCGCTACATTTACATCCTCCATTACAACGGCACCAAGGCTTCCTGCGAGACGCAGCGCCTGCTAGCACTCAATAACCGCATCACTTCCTGCCTCACCAGCCTGAACGGGGCCTTCGACCCGGTCATGTATTTTTTTGTAGCTGAGAAATTCCGTGATGCTTTGTGCAACCTGTTCTGTGGTAAGAGGACGGTGATGATACCTCAGTGCGAGGGGAAGACCAACGAAAGCTCGCTGAGTGCGAAATCTGAGCTGTGAACGTGACTCCTGCCTCCGCTACCACGTGAAAAGGCTGCGCCGCCAAAATCAGAGGAGAGCAGATATGCAGAAAGACCACGTGCATGAGCACAGCCGGGCTCACTCCTGCAGAGGGAAGTTCTGTCATTTCCCTGGAACTGAAACGAACAGGAACCCCTCTGATTACGTGCTCTTGTCTTAGTGAAACCGCAAGCACTGACTGCCAAGATGTGAAACTGAGGGCTGAGCACTTAGGAACAACTGAGGGAACGCGGGCTGTTAAACAGACAGCTTCTTTTTGCAAAATAATTTCATTCCCAAAGCACTCAGTAATGGCTTTTCCTAGGCACAGTGCATAAGCATACTTTAAAATGTCGTACTGCACCAACACTAGAGATCCATTCCTCACACAGCCTGTACCTTCTGTTCAAGTTGCATGCTCAGTGTTTACACACCGTAGGCAGAAAACTGGCACTAAGCCATAGCAAAACACATAAATAAATAAAAAAGCAAAAATGCTGCAACACGTCCAAGCAGGAATGCAATTAAGACAGTACTGACCATTTTTTAACTGCTTCCAAGGGCTAAGAGCAGGAGATGAGCTCAAAGCTTCAGACAGAGGCCAGACAGTGTTTACTGTACTGCCTCTGTTACGTAGTTCCGTGCCAAACATCAGACATCCTGATAGTGCTTCAACTAAAGAAGGTCTGCTTAGGAATACAGCATTCATCTTTACTACATACTGAATCAAAAAAACGATGAACCTCTGTCTTAAAAATTGGTAAAGGTGGACAAAAGCAAGCAGAAAAAGAAATCATAGCATCATTTAGGATGGAAAAGACTTTCAAGATCAAGTCCAACCACTCGCCTGACCTACCAAGTGCCATCAGTCCAACCAAGTCCTCTAGTGCCACATCCACACATCTCTTAATCACCTCCAGGGTATTTATTTTATTGATGTTCCCTTTGCCCAGAAGAGAATCTCATCTTTAAGGTGTTTTACAACTCTTTCATTTTGGCAGTTTACCTAGCCAGACTATTTATTTGCTACAGATAAAGCAGGGATTACCTTAACTATCCTTACTGATACAAATCATATCCAGTGGAATACATCTGAGAATGAGAGGCAGACCTTGCAAGATCAGGTTCAGTGAGAAAATGGAAAACGAACACAACAGTTTCCAGCAGCATTTGCTAGCAGAAAGCTCCTGTGCAGAAGAGGTAAATGTTATAGGAAACCACACGACAGGTGAAATAAACGTGGAACACCCAGACACACAGGCACACACATTCCTTTCCTATACTTTCCATTTTAAATTCTTTTTCATGCTTGAATTGTTTCAATCCTAGCTGCTTTCCAGAAAAGACCCAAATTCTCCTGGGTGCTGTGACGACAGCACAGATTCTAACAAGCTAAGGTGACACAAGTCAAATTTATTACACCCAGCTCGAAAAAACAAGACACAGAAGTTGTGTGCAGGACTGAACAGAAAAGGGAGTGGAAGAATCTCCCTGCTGGACAGGGTACAAACATGTAACCTTTCCTTCCTCACCCTTCAGGTAGTGAAAATGTAACCCCCAGGAAACTACTAAGCTTTGCTCAAGATATGAAAGCCTGAAATTAACTATGAATTGTACAACACTATGTACTAACAGTCAGATGGGTTTATTTTCTTATGATATCCTTTTGTACAAGTTTCAGGTTTGTAGTTTCTTACTTCTTAATTAAATGCATTAATCTACCTTAGGATTTGATTTTATATTTCTTTATATAAATTGAATGGTTTTTGAAGACTTGGGAAATCTTATGCTGCATATGTTCTGGTGTAATCCTCACCTTGTTCTCTTGGCCTTTTGCTACGTTTTGAATTGCTTCAGAATTGCTTATCAGAAATTACCTGATAAACAGCCTACCCAGCATCACACAATCCCTCTTCTCACCTGCTATCTGGCCTCTTGCCTATAATCCCCTTCTTTTCAGTACCCTTCCACTAGCTACTAACATTTGAGTTTCTGCTTCCTACACATTTCATTGAACAAAGAACACTGTTCTTCATTTAATTCCCCATCCCACATCCCTTAAAGCTTTCTCTGTACCTCTACAAGCTTCACCTCCCAATAAATGACCAATGGAGCACTCTCAGCATCTCACTGCCACATCAACAACATACTGACAAAATTTCCAGAGCTCCTGCTCCATCTTACCTGCCAGCATTCTTCACAAAACCCAGGTCAGCAAGTGCCACATCACAGAGCTCACAACGGAAACATTCTGGGTGCCAGTTATTGTTCATTGCTTTGATAACACGCCCAATGATGAACTCACCTACAAAAGGAAAGCAATACCTTGAGATCCATGCAGAAAACAGTTTTATTAAACATCTACAGCCCTTGATAATTCTGCCCTTTAGCCTTTAGCCTCACAAGAACTACTGCTTTATAACTTTGGTGGAAAAAAAAACAAACCCTCTTCCCATCACGAGGATGCCCCAAATCACTGCTGATTACATCCTTTGTTTCTCTCCAGATTTCCTGCTCCTTCAAATGACCCCAAATTCAGCCCATGGCTGGACAGCACTCAGTGGTGGGAGTAACAGCCTGGTCTAGTGTTAGATGTGGAGGTTGGTGGCCCTGTCTGTGGTGGGGGGTAAGAGCCTGATGATCCTTGAGGTCCCTTCCAACCCAAGCCATTCTATGATTGTATGAACCTGTGGTGTCTCAAAGGATGTATATGCTACAGGGCCAACACTGCTAAAAGAAGGGCCACTTGCCCCTAACAGTGTGTACAGATGTGTATTTGTACATCTTACCACATTCCCCACAGCAAGGAGCAAAGAGCATCTGAAAGTCATGCTCACAGTACTTCCGACCTTCAAACTGAAAAGAGAGAACGAGCCATCATGAATAACTGAATGGTGATCAGTTCTTACAGTTTAGCCTTTTCCACTTGAAAAAATGAACTGGTGAAGACCAGATAAGGTTTTCGGTTCTAGTCTCAATTCTGACCTGTTTTTAAGCTCCCAGAGATTTTCTCAAAGCAACATCCAAATATGGCTTCAGGCTCATAGTGAATTTGCTTTGCAAAAAATTAAATCAATAGCAAAGCTCCTACTAGACAACAAAAAACTTGGGGTGCCCAAAGTTTCTTTCCCTATAATTTATTTTTTTTAAACTTGTGTATTTAGAATTACTCCTCCTACAAAGGACTAAAAAACTAAGAATGCAGCATGTTTAAAATAATGTACTATTCAAAAGCAATGCTTGCATACAACCTGTGAAAAGATTTAAACTTGCTTTGTATGGGTTTGCCAACTTCAGTTGAGAAAGTCTGGTACAAAATACCTAAAAATAAAGGCAAATGATCACTTAAGCCTAATGAAATATTAAGATACATTTGTGCTTTCTTTTTTGAAATGCCTCTTACCCAGAAAGCAAACACAGTTTTGTTGATGAACAGAAGTAGGTAAGAGGAAGAAAAAAAGGAAAAAAGAAACCAAGCTGCAAGTCCCTCCTAAGGCCTAGAAATTAAACATGCAAGAAAGATTCTGTCGTAATTTTCACCTCATTCTTTGCCTTTTAGCAAAGACGTTTCTTGTCTCTCATACACAGCATGCAACCTCACCTCATAAAAAAGTCCATCCGGGAACTGGCGAAAACACTGAGCACAGACGAAGCAGTTCTCGTGGTACAGCTCCCCATTGCTGTTCACAATCCTCTCCGCGGGATCAAAGCGGGTCTGGCAGCGCTCACACACTGCATTCGCGAGAGCATCAGACATGTTACTGGAATAAAGACAGGAGGGAGGACATCAGCACTGCCATAAGCAAATCAGGAATACACTCGCACCATCCAAGCTCTCCGACATCTATGAACACAAAATTTCCAGTGCTTTAAACTCCCTTTTACACACACACATACAAACCACCAATGACTGAGGCAATTCAGCACTGACGTCAGTTGGAAATAATGCTCCTGCAGCTCAGCTGGGTAGGCAGCAGCACTGCAGCACAGCTAACTCCTGTAGCAGACCTCTCTGTCACGCACTTTTGGCTGCTTCGCCAGTCTTCCACCCCATTATGTCATCCTGCTGAAGCCCATATCAAATCCCCACCATTCATAATAAAGTTCTGAGAGCAGCAAACCCGATTAATCCCTACTTCTCAGGATTTCTGGTCTCAGGATGTGCACTCCCAGGATTTCCCAATGTATAAGCATCGATCTTCCACCACAGCCTCCCCCTGACCATGGCAGTCAATGGGCTTCCCCCCATCTACCTGGTAGCTGATGTGCACAAGACACCTTGGAATATAATTACATACAAAGCCTGTGCCTTCCTGACAAATTAGTTGAAACTGTTGAAGAATTGAAAAGGTACAAAATGAAAAGAGCCATCCTGCCTGGCCTGGCTTCACTTCCTCAGAAAGCGAGGCTGAAATAAACCCACAAAGTCACACTCACAGATCACTCAAAGGGCTGTTTCCCCTTTTTTCTCCTAGAATGGGAATTAACCTAACTGCTTCCACAACATTTCCACACTTGTCATCATGGTAATCTAAGTTCTCCATATGGCAATAGAATGCAGTTTTAAAATCCTGTATGTCATGTCCAAACAGGGAGGGAAAAACTACAATGAGGAAAGAGTCTCAGCTTCTTGCTGTGATGCATCCACTCAATTGACCATAGAATCATAGGATGCTTTGGGTTGGAAGGAACTTTCAGATCTCCTGGTTCCAACCCCTGCTGCAGGCAGGGACACCTCCCATAGCCCAGGTTGCTCACAGCCCCATCCAGCCTGGCCTGCAGTGCTCCCAGGGAGAGGGCATCCACAGCCTCACTGGGCAACCTGTTCCAGTGTCTCACCACCCTCACAGGAAAGAACTTCTTCCCAATATCTAGTCTAAACCTACCCTCTTCCAGTTTAAGCCATTTCCCTTCATCCTCTCACTACCTGCCCTTATTAAAAGCCCCTCCTCAGCTCCCCCATTCAGGTCCTGAAGGGCCGCTATAAGGTCCACCTGCAGCTTTCTCCTCTCCAGGCTGAAGAGCCCCAGCTCTCTCAGCCTGTCCTTACAGGGGAGGTGCTCCAGCCCTCTGATCATCTTCATGGCCCATTTCTGGACCTGCTCCAACAGCTCAGTGTCACACACAGCCCCCAGAGCAGCAAGATGCTGTACCACACAGCAGAAGGACAGCCTCCAGCATGGAACGTTTCTGGCACTCTATGTGCTCACCAATTCTTCTGCAATGAAGCAAGACACAAAATCCTCCTCTGTTTTAACAATAATCAGTGACACAAAGACAGGAAAGGCCACGGGAACATGACCAGCTCAACATCCTGGTGCAAACCCAACAGAACACGCTGTGAACGCTCACAAGGCACAACTTCCAGCAGAATGATCACAGAATCCATAGAATTGGAAGGGACGTCTAAAGGCCATCCAGTTCTACTCCCCCCCAGGGAGGGGAAACCACAGCTCCACCAGGTGCTCAGAGCCCCGTCCAGCCTGGCAGATCTCCATCAGTGCTGAATGAGGAGTTGCTTTAATAAGGAGATAACCGAAAACCTCACAGACATTACAGCAAAGAAACCTGAAGGCAGCATTTCAAGGTACAAGAGCACAGGGCATCGTCCAAACTCAGAAGACAGAACAAACCTACACTAAGGAACCCTAGAAAGGAGCTTTCCACTCACTGACCTACCAATAGACTCTCATGTACGCAGAGGACATCTCAATGCCATAACATTTATGTAGTCATTCAGAATGTGCACAGACACACATGCACTGCGTAGTTTAAAGTCAAACCCAGAGAAAGCCATCACCACTTGGCTGTGCCATAGACCTCAGGATAGAAATATCAGCAGCCAAGGAGAGGGGCTGCTTCCCACCCCTGCGGCATGGTTGAGCATTTGTGGCTTTAAGCTCTTAATGTTGATTAAAACATCAAGTGATTTTACCAAACCTGCCACAAAACGTTGGAGAAAAAAGAAACGTGATCTGTTATGCATTCAATAAGGCTACGAGCACAGTTTAATCTGCAGAATTTCTCCTTGTCCTCACATTATATTCCCACTCAGCAACCTGGACTACAGGCAGACGTCCCTGCCTGTAGCAGGGGGCTGGAACGAGGTGATCTTAAAGGTCTCTTCCAACCCAAACCATTCTAGCATTCTGTGATTCCAGTTCACTCCCTGTTGAGATGTTTTTTAGCTGGCTGGCTGTGAGCTTAGTAGCACTGTGGCCTTTCTTCCTGAGTACCCAAATCCTCAATAAAATCCCCACTTCTTCCTTGCGATTTACTGCCGAGCAAAAAGCAAAAAGAAGAACAACACAGAAAAGCAACTTATGGTCACAACGTGGGGACAAACCTTTACAGCTTCTCACCTCTCCTTGGCCTACCAGCCACAACCCTCTGCTCTTTGTAGAAGACAGAGGTTCGCTCAGCTCAGGGCAGCACCACGAAGCAGTGGCTGTGTTTAACAGGTCGCATCCGCGAGGCAGCAACACCACTCCTCTGCTATCAGGCATGCAGCACTTTGCCCATAACGTGCACCTGATAAATGGCTTCCAATGCACACGATCTGCGTTCCTCTTCTTCACCTCCACTATCTCCAAGGAGCCTGTGGTGATGGTTGTTTACCAGCACTGCTAAAACTGACTGCTTCCAACTGTGTTCATCAGCTGCCACCAGCGGTGCTGCTTTGGATTGCCACCATTTGCACAATGAAGGGCAGCCTTCCCCAGAGCTGCTAGTGTGCCCAAACCCAGAGTAGTAGGTTTAAATAATTATCACCACCATCATCAAGGCTTGAAAAATACACGTTGGTAACAAAACAAAGAAGAAAAAAATGAAACCTGATTGCGAATCAAGGAAACAAACAACACTGCACCTTCACCTTCTTTTGGAAGGCTCTGACAGCTATAACAAAACAGACAGCTGAACACAAATCACACATTGCTCGTAGTCCTCTCACCTCAGCATCGACCTCCTCACCCTTCCCATCATCAGTCTGCGCTGCTTTCCTGCTGAAGAGCTGTGTTTCTTTGCTCCTTCAGTGCTGACTTCTCTGTCACCAGTCCCTTCTGTACTCCTTCACAGCCCCATATCCCCTCAATGGCATTCACACTCCCTCCTCTGTCCTCCCATCACCCTTCCATACACTCATACCCACAACACTGTGCCAGAAAAACCTAACATTTAACCACTAACCAATGGCTGTAGGCTAAGCAGAAAGCACGGGGATGAGCAAGGCTCTATGGAGGGATGCAGGGCTCACACTGAGCGGCCGAACCAATTGCACCACACCTGGGTCTGAAACAAGACTGAAATCCACAGCTCCTGGCTGCCACAAGGACAGCTGCTGCATGCTTGCTGCTCTCGCCACCACGCAGACCTCAGAGCTGAGATGCAATTCTTAACTGAGCTGATTTCTGCTAATTGCTCTCCTGTCCAAAGTTAACCAATGAAAACTGTAACAATTACAATCTTAATTAGAAACACAGGAAAAGAAACCCTCAAGCCAAGCCCTGTAGCTGCCTGGGCAGACTGGAGCAGCTCTGCCTGCCAGGTGAGCGATCCCATGCAGCAGCCATGCCAGGAGCTTCAGTTTCTGACAGACAAATACTAAAATCAAGAAGCCTGATACTCACAGTACCAACAGGTTACTGAGCCTCAGTGCTTTGAATGACTGCATTTTACTTTTCCTCTGTCCCCACGGCACCGAAGCACTCCAGCACTAACCAGAGCTGAGCTGCTGCTGGCTCTGAACAATCTAGCTTCCACACGGAAAGGTTCTCCACCGCTTCTTTCCTGCTATTGTTAAAAACCGAAAGCTTCCCCACCAGGAAAGTCCTCTCCTTCGTAATCTGCTTGGAAATAGAACCAGCTTCATCCTGTCTTGCTGTGCACAGACAGTTCCCGCCCCGACACCCCCAGCTGTGCCCCCAGGCCCCACACACCGCACACCTACCCTTGGGCCCTGGCCGCCGTGCCTGCCCTGCCCTGCCGCCGCCAGTACAGCCCTGAGGCTGCCGGGCCCTGCAGGCGCAGGCCAGCCATGGCACCCCATGGCAGAGCAGGGAGGCGGTCAGGGAGCCCTGGCAGGACATCCAGTGAGTCACCTTCCTGAGGGGAGTTCCCTTGGCGTTCCAGGAGAGCTCCAGCAGGATGCAGGCAGTTCTGCTCCAGAGCTGTTCCTCATGCTTTGCCTGCCATTCTGCTGCAGCCCTGAAGGCTGGAGAAGCTCTCTCCTGCATCCCACTGCTAATTAATCACCTGCTGAAGGCAGCACACTTGGAGGTCATAGCAGCAATTAGTGCTCAGCCAGACTTGATGATGGAGCCGTGTTAAGTCCCAAGCCTTCATGTTATCAATGCATGCCACTGAAGGAGATTCTCAGATCAAAGCAACAGAACACTGCTGACCCAGCCTCACACAGCATCTCACCCAGCTCTCAGGTGGACAGGTTGCCCCATGGCTGCTGCACCCCACAGCACTGCTTTCCGCATGGGTGAGGCACACACCGGGGCACCGAGCACAGCACTGCCTGCAGAGCAGCAGCTGAGGAGGGCTTGGGGCAGGCAGCGCTGCACAACCCTGCTGGGGAGCTGAGCAGGGCCCATGCAACACTGAAAAGAATTGAAGTACTGAGAATAGAGAAGGCAGTGTTTAAGAGAACAAAAGGAGTGGAGGGCGATGGATGCAGCTGTGTTGTCTGATCAGCATCACCATGAAAACCGCTTTGTGTTTTATTATCATTTTCTTATTATTCTCTTGTAAATAATTTAAAAAGGAGTTTTGTAGCATCATAGTGAAATATGTTCCATTGGTAAGCTGTAGGAGGAAATAAGCAAGAGAAGTGACGATTTCACAAGTATTAGGCGAGTGTTAACCAGCAGAGATCCTCCATGCCCACCAAGCAAAAGCAAGAGGGCTGCCTGGGACCCAGAACAGGCAGAGAGTGGAACGTCATCATCCCACAACCAGAACTGAGTAACCCACAATCTCCAATTCAACCTGCACTTTGTTGTCCTTCAGGCCCCTGACCTCCAAAGCAATCTGCAGTTCTTCAGACTGCATTTCATAGAATCACAGAATGGCCTGGGTTGCAAAGGAGCACAGTGCTCATCCAGTTCCAACTCCCTGCTGTGTGCAGGTCACCAACCAGCAGCCCAGGCTGCCCAGAGCCACATCCAGCCTGGCCTTGAATGCCTGCAGGGATGGGGCATCCACAGCCTCCTTGGGCAACCTGTGCCAGTGCCTCACCACCCTCTGGGTGAAAAACTTCCTCCTCATATCCAACCTAAACCTCCCCTGTCTCAGTTTAAAACCATTCCCCCTTGTCCTATCACCATCCACCCTCACAAACAGCCGTTCCAACCCGTTTATACGCTCCCTTCAAGTACTGGAAGGCCACAATGAGGTCTCCCCACAGCCTTCTCTTCTCCAAGCATTTGTACTTAACTCACCTCTGCTTTACAGAGCAGAGAAATAAAGGGAATAAAGAATAAAAATGAAGATGAAACAGAAGAATGAAAATATCCTTCAAGTCGCGTGGCTTTGCAGACCTGTTAAATTTTAGAGTGGTAAGCACCTTTAATGCACTATGACATCACTTCTTTTAATATCAAGCAAAACATCGAAGCACCGCAGCACCTCCCAACAGCAGCCTCTCCTCCCTCCAGCACCTCAGCTTTTACCCTCCCGGCCGCTTCACCGCTTTAAGTATCCATACTGATTTCTAAAGGCAGTCTAATGCAGGTCGGGCGCTTTTTATCTTTACGTTTTGTTCTTGTCCACGCTGAGGAGCCGCCCTCCCGGCCCTTCCCACACGGGGTGCGGCCCCGCAGGACCTCCCGCCTTACCTGCCCGTCATGGCGGCGCGCCGAGGGGCTGCGGGACGGGACGGGACGGGACGGGCGGTTCCGCGCGGCGCTCCGGCAGCACCAGGCACGGCACAGCGCGGGGCCCCCGGGCGTGGGCGGGAGCCGCAGCCCCCGGTGACTCAGGGCAGCCACCCCCGTGCCCCGCGCATACTTTTCCTATAAAGGGAAAGAAGCGGCGAGGAACGCGGCGCCGGAGCCCGGCCCGCCCCTTGCCCTGACCCCGGCCCCGCGGAGCTTCGCGCCGGAGCTGAAGGCGGAGCTTCGGGCCGGCGTCGCCTTCCTCAGCTCGGCGGGGAGAGCGAGGGCTGCTCCGAAAGTAATGCCTCCTACGTTACGGCGTCGGCCCGCCGTCGGGATGTCGGCGGTGGGACCGCAGCAGGGGCTGAGCCCGCCCGTATCCCGCTACGCGCTGCGGCCGGGGGACAGACGGGGCGGTCTGATGTGGAATGCGGATGGAACGAAGGGCCGGGACTGAATTCCTCCGCGTGGGAACAGTGGCACACAGCGACATTCGACGACGCTCGCTGAACGCCGACGGACACCGAACGGCGCGGGATCTCAGGGCGGACCCGCGGCGCTTCGCCCGCAGCGCCGCCCCGCCCCCTCTGGGTCGCACTGCGCAGGCGCGTTGCCCCGGCCGCGCCCGCTGACCCGGAAGCAGCCGGCGGCAAGATGGCGGCGTAGCGCCCGCGTGCCGTTCGGGCCCCGCCATGGCGGACCTGGGCCGGCAGCTGCACGAGTACCTCGCCCAGTCCAAGGCCGCCCCCGCCCCGCCGCCCGCAGGCGGCCCGCAAGAGGAGCCGGAGGGGAACGGCGCAGGAGCGTGGCCGAGCGCCTTCCCTGGCTGGCGCTGGCCGTGGGCGGCCGAGGCGGACCCGTGGCTGCCGGGGCTGTCGCCGTGGCAGCGGCTGGCGGGCGCCGCGCTGTGCCTTCTGCTGGCCGCCTTCTGCTTCGGGCTGGCCGCGCTGTACGCGCCGCTGCTTCTGCTCCGCGCCCGCAAGTTCGCGCTGCTCTGGTCGCTGGGCTCGCTGTGCGCGCTGCTCGCCGCCGCGCTGCTGCGCGGTCCGTCCCGCCTGCTGCGGGAGCCGAGCCGCGGCTCGCTGCTGTACGCGGCGGCGCTGGGCGGCACGCTGTACGCCGCGCTGGGGCTGCGCAGCACCGCGCTGACCGCGCTGGGCGCCGCCGCGCAGCTGGGCGCCGCCGCCTCCGCGTTGCTGGGTGCGCTGCCCGGAGGGGCCGCCGGCGCCCGGCGTGTCGGAGGGCTCCTGGTGACCGCGCTGCGCCGCGGGGCCGCGCTGCCCGTGTGATGTACGGGAGGAGCGTCCCGTCGGGCTTCCTCGCGAGAAGGCGGCGCGGAACGGCGGCGATTCCGAACTCGAGCGCGGGACCGCGCCCGGCCCGCCGCGTCTGGAGCCGAGGAAGAGCGACTGCCGGCGGAGGGCCGCGGGACCGCCCGGCGCTGGAGCGGGGACGGCGGCGGTGCGGGGCGAAGAGCGCCGAGCGGCCTGGCTCCCCGTGCCCGGTGCCGCCTCGGTGCCGGGAGCCTTAGCGAGCGCCGTGCGCTCTTCCTGCACAGAAACCACTTGTAATTGGCATCCAGTAAGTGAAACAGGCTCCGGGGCTGTGGGTCGGCAGGCCTGTGCTCGGGTAGGGCAGGACCGTGCGATGTGCTGTCCTGCTTCCAGGAGCCGCGGAACGGCACGGCGTGCCCCTCGGCAAGCTCTGCTGGGGAGCGGGCTGCTCGGCTCTGCCTTGGGGCTGACCGCCCTCCAGCGCCTCGGACGGAGCCGGCCCAGCTCTCAGATTTGCCTCAAATCACTGCTTAGGGATACAGCGGGAATTGTCAAACGGGGGTGCTTACATGTACGTAGACAGCTTTAATAATAAAATGACTATTTGTGTACCAAACGTCAGCGTAGATCTTCAACCACCGGTCACTTCTTTCCTTGAGCTGTAGACTGAGATAACGCTAAGTAGGTCTGTCCTTTTGATAACTGCTGAGCTACGGTGTGTAATTTGTAGCAGTGGAATTGGAAGAGATGGCAGGGAGAGGCTGTGAGCAGGCACAGCACAGCCAGGCTGCGTGCGGTGGTCAGAGCTGTGCCTGCACCCTGCTTTCAGCAGTAGGGCTGTGGTTGCACCCATTGGGTTCCCTCTGTGTCTCCTGCTGTCTGTGGCTGTGGGATTCTGTCTGAAAGTTAGCTCATTGCCCTGTTTCTGTATGACTTTCATGTTCCACAGCAGTGGAATGTTTCAAATCTTAGTTTGAAAAGCTGCCATTGTGAATGTTAGCAAGTACAATAGTGGGGCTAACCAAGCAGCAGGGGAAAAAGAAGCATTTTCCCTCGTGTCCAGGTGCAGAATGCTGGGTTCCCTGCTGTTAAGTGTGCTCCAGTTTGCTTTGGTAGAGGACTGTTGGGTATTAAGGGCCAAGACCTCTAAATCAGATACTTGAAATACTAAAAAGAAGTTGCTTTCAGTCCCATTAAAAAATAAAAATTAAAAAAAAAAATACCCAGGGCTTGTATTATTAAAAAAAAAAAAAAAAAAAAAAAGCCAACTCTGTATTTTCCCTTCAGTAGTGATTAAATCTTCAGTGTTAAAATTTAAAGAGATCCCTGAGGTGCACCCAGCACGGCCCTTCTGCAAGTAGAGCAAAAGGGATCCCTTTGTGCTCCCCAAAGGTGAACCTGCTCCCTACAAGGTGCCCTCAGCTCCTTCCCAGCCTCCACCTTTCAGATCGTGCTAAAGCCAGAAGACAAGGATGCTGTAGGCTAATGAGCACCCTTAATTGCTATGATTTTTAATGCAATTTTGTAGGCTACAAATTAAAAACTGTAAAATGTTACTTGTGACGAAGAGAGCAGCCGCTAAGCACCTCTGCTCTGATCCCTTTTAAATAAGATGGATGAGGATAGAGTAGGTCAGTCTTTAAAAGAGAGGTGACCGTATCAGAAGTCAGTTAAAGTAGCTGCTGTGCATTGCTGTGCTGTGCAGTGGTTTTGCCAGCTGTAGACTTACACTGCCATATGACTGTGACTATTCTAACAGCTTGAAGCTAAAAGAAGGGGGATTTAGAGTAGATGTTAGGAGGGCAGTGAGGCACTGCTGCCCTCAGCAGGGTGGGTGCCCCATGCACGGAGGTGCCCAAGGCCATCAGTGGGGCCCTGGGCAGCCGGAGCTGGTGGGGGCAGCCAGCCCAGCACAGGGGTAGGACTGGGTGGGCTTTAAGGTCCCTTCCAACCCAAACCACTTCATGATTCTACAAATTTCCAGTGGGTAGAAAAACAGCCTGGTGGTGATAGTTTTCATGATAGTTTGTTGTATAGTTTTAATTGAGGGCCTTCCTGAGAGCTGGCTTTTGAGTACGTATAAACTTCTGTATAAACTTTTCATTCAGGCTTAAGCCATTAATGAGCCCTGTGGTAGCCTGGTGACTGGAGATGATTGATGTGAATGATTTTTTTATGGGGACATTGGATACTTGTGATTGCTAAGCAACAAAAATGTGGGAAATACATTTCTCTGCTCATCCCTCTCCTGTGGGAAAACCAAAGAACAGTACCCTAAAGATGTTTAGAAACATTAAGATGACAGCCAGAAACCACTGAGTTCTGCACTTTAGCAGACCAAATGCTGCTGGACACCCATATCTGTATGCAGGGTATCCTACAGCCACTGTAAAACGTTTGCTTCCATATGAATCAAATTGCTAAACTTCCCTTTCCTCTTCAATTTCTTTAAGTGCTGTTGTGAGTATCTGACTCCTGCATCTGAAGCACAGAATGACAGTGCTCGTTATCCTCTCTAGTTTGCTAGCAGTCCAGGTTATAGATGCACTATGTGTATGACAGCTTTTTCTAAATGGTGTTCCCTGTTTTTCTCTTTCAGGATGGCAGACCAGCAATCAGCAGTGACTTCCTGTGCTCTGGAGTTTTAATGTCAGCACCTCTGGTTATTTATAGACAGCTGAGACTGCAGGCAAAAGAGTTCTCTATAGATGATAAACCAAAAATGAGGCATAAGCTGTTAGTACTGCCCACAGATGAGACTTCAGGAGGTAGTTTGTTGCTCCATCTGATACACAAGTTTGTTAAGAAACAGCACTTTATAGGAGTAGGTGAGTAAAGAACTACACACGCTTTTTTTTGGTTAGTTTTTGCGCAAATTACATTCTGTATTCATACAAAAAACAACATAACTCTTCTGACAAACTGTACATATAGAAACAAGTTTCTGTTTGGAATCGAACTGAAATCTGTGGAGGTGCTCCATGTCTCAACACTAAAAAAAATTCCAGCTCTTCACAAAACAAAGTAGGTAAAGGAAGGTGGGGAAAATGGGGGCAGAGAAGACAAAACTGAAAGCTAGCTACAGTACCGCAGCTAGTAGCAGTTGACTGATCTAGGAGAAGACCCTTGTTAGGAACTAATGCACATTCAGTTATCCCAGTTAAGAATCCAGACTTGCGTTCTTGCAGGGTTACTTTCTCTTTGAGTACAGAGTAGCAGTCCATTTAAATATTGTCCATCAGGGACTGGGTGTGACCCAGTCAAAGCCTCTTCTATCGGCCTCTTCCGCCACCCCTGGATGCTCCTCTTCGTGACTGACCAGAATTCATGTTATTTCCTCTTCCCCAATTGCTTCCGCTCCTTCCTCCTCTGGAAGGGTTGCTGCCTCCTGCAGGGCCTCCGCCGAAAGCTTCATCCCTGTGGAATCCATCGTGATGGTCTCCATCTAAAGAATTAGACCGTGCCGATTTGGGTGCTCTCTGGGAAGCTCCTGAATTTCCACGTCCTAAAAATGAAGCACAACGTTACTGATGTTGAAATCTAAGCCGTGCTTCTCCTCAGACATACCACGCCTTTCAGCTAGTTCTCTCACATTCTCCAACTGAATGTTCTTGAGACCTATGATTTTATGCCTCCTCCCTGTTTTTTATTACACAGGTTCCATATCTCCATGGCAGCCCAGAAGATTGACAGTAATCAGGCAATCCCTTGGGGATTAAAGGAGATTATGTCTCATACAGTCAGTGAGGACTTACTTAAGTCAGGTCCCTCAAAAGTGCCAGCCATACACGATCTGATCCTTTACAGCTATCTGCAGTTCTTTGTATACTTTTATTGCAGAACACAACAAAACCAAGAGAACCGGATAAAGGAATGGTTAAACCACATCTGCCATGGCGTGTGCAATTCTTAGTCACCCCATTCACAAAACAATAAGTTAAAACTGAGGCGAGTATAGACGTGGTAAGAAGGGCAGTAAAGGATACAGAATGCATTCCAGAGACAGCACACGAATGGGTGAGAGCTCTGGCATAGAAAGCTGAGGATGGAAGTTTATGCAGCCAGAGGTGGCATTCAGAAATACCAACTAAAATACAAGCCATCACTGAATGGAAGTAGTGAATGATGGGCTTAAGAAGACAAAAGCTTTTTATTTTATCCAGTTAAGCTTTAGAGCTCTGTCTGTGGATGTCACAGGTTCCAGCGATTCTTAAAGCTGGATAAGACTTCTGTTGAAAAACACACCAGTGTTGCTTGAGGTTTTCAATACAAAGGACTTATCTACCTTTTCCCCTCTCCTCTGGAGGTCCACCTGGAGCATCCATTTCCCTGGGATCAGAGGTCCCTGGTCCATCGTGCCAGGGACGTTTACGTGGTGGCAGTGAGGCCATGTCCATGCCCTGGAGCGAAGAAGAACGTTCTCGGTTAGCTGGAGAATGTCCATCGTGAGGAGGGTGGTCTGGACGAGGACCTGATGGTGAGGAGAAAAAGTAGGATCATTAGATAACATCCATCTGATCGTTATGCCTCATTTTCAGAAAGCAGTCACATACAAATTTACTTTCCATGCAATTTGGAATACAATTTTAAGTTATGTAAAGCTTCCCCACCACTAGAGCATGCAAATAAGCCAACATTAGATGAACGAGCTGCAAGAAAGCTGAAGGTAAAGCAGGTTTAGAAGATGCTGAAGAAGAAGGAAGTGGCAGATCTCAAGCTTTCTTTTCAGCATAAGGATTTTCACATATTTTAGAGATGGCCACACGTTCATCTTTCGTCATTCATGTGTCATTTGTGCTCGTGTTCTAAAATTCAGTTTTGAACCTATATGGTTCCTATATAACCTGTAGGACCTATAATTATACACAAAGATGACCACTGGCATCAATAGATACCTCAAAAAGCTGTATGTTACGCTGCATTCATCAGCAGGGGACACCAACGTGCTGCTCTGGACTGCATATAAAATCTCACCGTGAATCAGGATAATAAATGATTTATTCATTTATTATTCTGTGGAAATGCAGCGTTTACAGCTAGCTACATTCCAGGCAGTTCATTTATTTCTATATTTATAAGTCCAGAAACCTACACGGTGCATCTCTGGTGATGAAAGACTGAGCACACGAAGCACAGAGAAAAGTAGCGATGTTATTCATTTTAAAGCAGTTACATTGCAGACATTGATTATCTGAAGCAGACCTCAGCTGTTTCTTTACCTGGTTCTCTGTTTCCATCCCAGGATTCTGGCTTCCGCCCACCTTCAAAGCGTGGAATTTCATCGGGGGTAGGAAGCAGACCCTTCCGGCCTCCTGAGCAGCACGAGATGCAGGGAGAGGAGTGAGAAGAGACAATTGCATTTGTGAAACTGTTGCCGTTTGCCCAAGAAACACCCTTGCTACCTTCTCCTTGTATTTCACTGTGGAAGAATGTTCCCCTCACCTCTAATTGCACCACGACCTCGGCCCCGAGCACCATGGTCCCTTCCTCTCAAGTTTTCATCTGGGGAGTCAAAAGTGTCATCTGGCCCAAAATCTTCCGGACCAGGAAAGCCATCTCTCCCCCTGGGTCCCCGGCCCTCGTGTCTCGAGGGTCCTCCTCTTCTGAAGCTACAAGAAAGAACACGGTACACCTTTAGACAAGGTTTACATTGATAAACTTGAGACAGTTGGTTATTAAGCTGCTTTCTGAACCGTTTCACATAACACTACAGTACATACAGCTATCAGAACAGGATTTGTGGGTGGAAAAGTGCTCAATGTCTGTCTCTGAGCTTTGTTTAGCTATTTTGTATAGTTTTTCCTCACTTCTTTCTGTTGTGTTGGTTTTGGTTTTTTTTTTTCCCATACAGAAAATACTGTCAAGTATATTTGCATTCATTTAACAAGGAAAAAAAAATGAAAACAGTGAGATAGATATAAGGCAAGGCAAGGAGAAGGACAAGTGAATTTCTCTTAGCTGCAGTGCTCTTGCTTTAAGGGATTACAAACGAAGCAGGAAAAATAAAAGCAGTGAGAGTCAAGGCTGTAGTGAAACATGTCAGCATCACATTCCTATGGATTCTGGAGTCTCTCGCTAGAACATTCTCTTACTCAGTCCCTCCACAGAGGATTTTTTATTCTGTTTTTCTTTTTTAAGTTTACAATGTTGAGAAACGATTCTAGGCTGCACTTGGCTCAGCAGGGATGATGACTGCTGAGCAGTGTCACAGTGGCTTTCTACAACCTCACCAGCAGCTTATCCATCTGCAGTAAACGAAGAGC